ACAATATATGCAGACTTTTACATCTACTGAAGGAAGAACAGCCTCCATCACATACAAACAACACAGCCATCCATCTGCTTTTGCTTCATCCATTGCCGGGCCCCAGGGGGTAACAGTCTGACGCCCAAACCTCCCTTTCCACACACACATCCTCCAGTTCATCTGGGGGAATCCAAAAGGTGTTCTCAGACAGTCCCTCTAGTGTGTCCGGGGTGTTCCCTGGAGCCTGGAACACCTCCTCAAGAGAGCAGTGGCTCTATTCAGAGCTTGTATGTCATTACCATAGGCGACGGTATGATCCTAGATTGACTGGTAAATTGGGTGCTTTGCCTTTTGCTTGCTCACCACAACAGCCCAATACAGCAACCACAGAGACTTTTTTCTATCGTCCAAACATTTACAAAACTTACAAAACTCTTTCATGTCCGTAGTTTAAGGAATTGTATACACGATGTTCGAATAAAACACAAAGTGCCACTAGATTATACTTGTATATTCCATAATACAATTGTATATTATATAATACACTTGGCACGGTGGCTGAGTGGATAGCATTCTCGCCTCAGTAAGAAGATCCTGGGTTCGAATCCCGGTCGGAACAGAGTCTTTCTGAGTGGAGTTTACATGTTCTCCCCGTTCCTGCGTAGGTTTCCTCTGGATTCCCCTACCACTAAAAATCTCGTGCAACAGTTCAGGGTGAATGAGTGTGTGTTTGTGAGTGCGAATGTGGGACAACGTTCATTAACATTTACTGTCTAAATACTAGAATACAGTCAAATTCATAATACATTTGTATTAAAGATCAAGATTTCTGGCTTTTATCCTCTCGACTGCAAACACTAACTGCAAACATTTCTTTCTGGCTGAAACCAAGTCACAGAAATCAAATCACTGTTTTGTTGGCTCCTCTATAATCAGCCCTCACTCCATTCTTTTCTCCTCCCTCTGATCTCGTCTGCTGGGCTGTGGTCGCCTAATTAGCACTCAGAGCTCTGCACGGGTCTTCACTCCGAGGCGGCAGCACACATACACACAGCACCCACTTGACTTTCCACAGAGGGGTCCAGTTGTGGAGTTTGGCCTGTTGTAATTGTGTAATAGGGATAATTGGTGTGTGTTCCATCTTGTACAAGTCTCCAGGTGTGAATCTATGCCAGCGGTCTCCAACCTTTTCTCCCAAGAAATTGCTTCTTTTTTGGGACAGAATTCTCCTGGCAGTCTTAAAAAAGGGTACTATTAGTCAACTCTATAGTATATGTACAATATGTGAATAAGAACAATTGAAATATCCTGCATATTATTTGTAATTCCTAAATCCTTTTCATAGCTACTTGGAAGGAGGTGGTGAACTATAGGTAACTCCTGAGCCAGAGGTTAGAGATGCCGGATCCTGTGCCCTCATACTTCGGATTGAGCATTGTATATACCTTTAGAAATGAGTGCAATTGTCCAAAGGGTAAAAAAACGGTGATAAGGTGTGTTGTACTGCGTTGTTGAGTCACCGGTGTGTGTTATTTCAATTCAACTTTATTACAGACTCTAGGTGCAATTTAAAACACACAGACGGACAAGACGAAAGACAATAACAAACAAACGGTTATGACTTTAAAAGATAGCCATACCAGTGTCTCCATATTTTGGACTGCACTCGGGTGGTACTGAACCTGATGTTTGTCAGCGCTAAAATTATAACATTTTCTGATTAGTTCAGTCGACAAATGAAACTGTACATAAGGCTCCTCAGCACAGCCTGTAAAGTGTTCACTCGTGAGGTGACAAACAGCTCAGAAGCACTGGTCCAACGTGGCTTTCCCATCAACTTTTGAGAAAGGTAAAAGCAACTACAGCAAATTGTCTGATGACCTGTTTATGTTGATTAGCTTTTATTTTTATATAGTGTGCATCTTATAGAATATACTAGAATATAGTCAATAAAGGCGTACTTTATTGTCCCGTTGAGAAATTATACTCTGCATTTGACACTTGCTTCAATGTCACCAGGGCCTCTGTCAGGAGCAGTGGCCCTGGGACCCATCCCCAGATATTACTGTGAAATTTGTTTAAAACATTAGAACATGAGGTGCAAACCAAGTTTTTGAAAACCAAGTATCTATAAGCCAAATTATGTTTAGAAAATCTCCAATAAAATGGGTAGAGATTTGTTGGGCAGAAAAAATAATAATTTATCAATTTAATCAATGGTAATGAAATATATAAATCTCTGTGTCAATGCGAGGACTTCATTGCATGCCATGAAAAAGTGTTGCTAAAAAGAAAACCTTTGGTAACGATGAATGCAATTTACAATGTATTGTATTGTGTGTATTGTTGTATGAATGCTGGCAGTCGCACATCACAGGTCATCAGGACTGAATTAGCGTTACCCATGTAGAAATTATTTCAATAGTTTGTTGAAAAATGTATTATACATGGGCAAGAGATAAAAATACATTTACACTGTATCTTTATATACGTTATGCATATTCAGGCAAACATGGCAGGAGGGGAATAGATTTATTGATCCACACTATTCCATGGGATTATCAAACTGGTCTGTCCAGTCTGGTTGCTTTTCCATGCGCTTCTTTCAAAAGTCATCTCATAACTTTGTCTGTATTTACAATTACAGTTACAAAGTTAAATAAATCACTATAATACATATACAAACTTCATGTTTACTTTTGGCAATCTTATTTTCTACATATACTCTGATACATTTCTGCAGCGCTCTTGTAAACACTGCAATTCCTGAGAAGTCAAACAAAACAGAAACAGGTGCAGCGAGGGTCGCAACTTTCATAATGATTGCAATGATAAAATGTTTATTGATAATGTTTAGGATGATGTTTATCGAGTCTTAGCTGTGTCTAGACATACATGGTTAACATGATATTCGAAAAGAAAACTTTATTTAAATCAATGGAATAACCAGATATTTTATGACAGATGCAAATGACGCAGGCTACGGTTGAAGAGATCGTTCCATGATCTCTAGTGTCACATGATGAATGTAAGTCATACACAGTCAGACTAGACCAGTAAATGAGTCATTCTTTAGCAATAGCTATCTGATAAGTCTAACCAATTTATTCTCGTCAGCAGCACAAGTAAAAAACTTCTTTGTCTGTCAGACTGTTTACTGAACTCCAGGAACTGCATCTGCAAGTGTTAGCTCAGAGGGGGGATTACAGTATAGTTGGTGTGAAACTTAAGATAACGAAACACATGCAAGTATGTAGACACGTGTGGACAGACACAAATATTTGTTTGTAAAATATTTTAAAGGGCCAACGCAGAAGTAAACTTTCAAAGTCTTGAAAACCAGGTTTGAAACAAAAGTGAAACTTAACAGACCAAACATGTCTCCGACACAACTATGAAACAGACATGGACAATATGACAGTCAGCTGATGGAGCAGGCAGACAGGGCTAAGGCCTGAGATAATCATCTGAACAGACAAGGTCTATGTTGAACAGATGCCTTTAGCACAACGCTGGATTATATTGTGTAAAACGCGCAAACACAGGAAGACCCAGCGACATACAATAGTCAGGGTAATGTAAAACTCAATGAGCGCAACGCAGAAGCCATAGTGGTTCAAGCAAAGCGATAGTCAAGCACAGCCTGCATCTATTCTGTGTATGAATCTCTTATCGGCACCTCTCATGTTGCCTGTGTTGTGTTTGCCTGGCTGCTGTTTATCAGACCTGAGGGCATGAAAGCGATGGCAGCAAACATCAACTGGGTATATCTGTGCAGCAGAGTTTAGTGCAGTAAATGCATTCAGTATGACTTCTGTGAATGGGTTTATTCAGAAGTGGAGTGGAGTCTTTGACAAAATGATGTAATGATACATCTGTGCCCTGGTAGCCTGAATCAAAATACAAAGAGTATAGGAAAGCAAAAAACTAACAACTTCAAGTTGAACAAGAAACAATACTACAACAACTCATATCCAAGCATTTCTCAATATCATCCATTCAATAGAGAAAATGCTGCCATTTAAAATCCTCCTGTAAAAACCAATACAGCACATTTCTCACTAAAAACAGTAAGAAAGAAGCATGACATTTTCCATATGAGAAACGCATGGCCAATACTTAGTGATTAGTGACACTGTCAATCAAGAAGGCAAGACTCCAATAGCACCTAAAATAAACAATTACAAGTAAATAGTTTATGTAACAGCAGTACATCTGCTGTTGCATAAACTATTTAATTTTAATTTACACTATTTGCTTCTTACAAATCTTACAGAGCAGGTTAGTCTTACTGTCAAACACAAACCTATGTAGTGGAAGTCTACACATTAGTGTAATTTTCTTCTGTGGTTTGCAACAAACACAGGAAGTTCTTAAGTCTGAAGGCAACATCTTTTACAACTTCTTCCACAGTCCGTCTGTGTTTCCGGAGATCGACTTGTCTCTCAGATAAAGATTTTATGACTTGTTTGTTCAGCTGCCTTTGAGGGTCATTACACTAAACAGTTTAGGTTAAATTGTTACATTCTGGAACAGGATTGATGGGCTCCTGTATTCAAGGTTGGCCAAAACAAAATGATACAGGATTTGAGACGGCTGTCTCTGGATATATTTGTGTGAACTTGAGGATATAGGTGGCAATGGCATCGAAGGGAAAGCAAGACTGGATTTCTGTCAGTCACTGGGCAGAGCAAATATCCCTGAACAAGCAAACAAAAAGCAGTGTACAAGCACATTTTACATACTGCCTCAGGACACTGTTGTAATTCTAGTCAAATGTGAGCCTTGCCCAGTCACGTGAGTGTAAATTATGTGCAAAGAGGCTTCTTCAGTCAGTCTATTCAAAGCCATCAATATAAGCTGTTGATAAGGGAATGTAAAGTAGGTCACCTTTAACTCCAGGCTCCTTGTGTAAACAGTGCATGAAGCTGCTCGGGACTCTCCTAATCACTCTCTAAACACAGCCAGGTGCTGTTGCCACAGACAAACTGTCACCAACACTCTTTCCAGCTGCTGCCTTACCCCACACACTCACAGCACTGCGGGTGTTCAAACAGCAGCTCACCTGATAAGATGCCACAAAAACAGGTAGTCCATTACTATGATCCATACGTTGGAGGTAATCAAAGTCTGTAACTTCCACTTCCACCAATAATAATCCTGGACACCATGTGCAGCGCGACCTATCTGACAAACACACCATATCATTGATCTTATCAAATCAATAGGCCTCATTTACAGGGCTAAAGGAGATAAGATAAGCTAATTCAACATTCAAGTACTTAGGTGTAAATAACAACATAATTGAATTCAGGTCTAAAAAATAAATAAAGATGTGAACATCATAATATCCCCTCAAAACACTGTAAATCTGATCTTAATCTAAAAGTCACATGAGTGCAGGTGCACCAGATCCATGAAGTGCACCGATAGACACTATTGCACTTGCTATGGCTGACCTCATCAAACTCATCACACACTGCTATGTCCTTATGACAGCAGACAGACCCTCTGCGCAGCGGGCACAGGCCTGTTGCTTCAGGGTCGGGAACCGTCGGTGTCCGCTGCTCCAGCGGAAGAGCAAAGTGGGAAGAGACGACACATGCTCCACCTGCCACACGCACACGCGTCTACACACGCTGGGGTCAAAACCTTCACCCGACCCACCAAATGATCAGGGTCGCCATCAACGTGGTTCTCAGACAGTAAGCAGATCGTAACAAGATTAGATTGCAGTCAAAGTGAGTTGCGAAAACAGATTTTGATCCATGCTCCTATAGTTTACAGGGAAACCCTCATTCGTCTCATTTGCATTTTAATCATGTGTGCTCGATTAAAGAGTAGCTGAGTGGAATTTCTTCTCCAACTAATCTGCAGCATATCCCACTTTGACTAAATAGTACAGGTAAGCTGAAATGGCATCAAAAGAGCAGGTATCGCTGTTATAATGTTCATGAAGTCCCAGTGTACGCGCACACACAAGCTGCGCGCCTAACCTACGAGAGCCTGAAGGGTCCTCCTCACCCCTGGCCTCCCCCCAGGGCTCCCCCTCTCACCTTTGGGCTCCCCCCTCACCCCGGGGTCACCGTGACCTGTGAAGCAGAAGCATTTCCTTCATATCGCAATGACTTCCTCAACGAGCTCTCCTCGTTTGTTTAGCCTCGGGATCGGTTTTAGAAGCAGATTTCTGTCCAGCCACTCACCGCAATTTAGTATGGGCTAGTCCAGTGTTTAATGGTTAATCTCCTTTGTTAGAGCTGTATAAGCACAAATCCATCTTTCCGACGAACTCCGTACTTTTGTTGTCAGTAAGAAGCTGGAACACCGCGCGTGGCCGTGTGGACGGAGCTCAGCCAGTGGAGAAAGGCAAGCAGCCGGCTGCTTGTGCTGAGCAGAGGGAGGGGCTTCCTCTTGGAGGGGCAGGACCATAGGCAGGACCATGGGCAGGACCATAGGCAGGACCATGGGCAGGACCAGACTGTATGGCAGGACAGAGCCCCCCTTCCACGTCACGCCCTCGGTCAACAAGCTTGACCCCTCATTGTCCCCCTAGTAGTAGGATGGATTGCCCTGCACATCAGGGTGGGCAGTCTGCTTTCAGTCCACACGGGGATTTCGCACAAGTTACAAGTTCAATAATTAGTTTATTAACGGACATAAACAGACGCATGAGGACGCACCAAAGCATGGCCACCGAAACACACATTAAAGCTTATAAGAGAGGAAGGCTCAAAAAAGAAAACGTGTGATTTGATGTAGTATTATTTTGACCGATTAATACTATATACGTTTCCCTTTGCTGTTATACGCAATACCCTCTATTAGTTAACATGTGCAGTGATAGGTCTATGTATAATTGATATTTATAAACTATTTATACACTTATAGGCCTACATAAATGGAAAAGTATTCTGTGTGAGCTGGGAAGCAATTCCATCAACCCTCCACAAGAGGACAGCCAATTTCACAAGTTCATTGCGCTGACAGCCTCCTTCCCGGCCTGGATTATCAATGGTTTACAGTGGATTAGATCCCAGCCACTGCACACACTGTAAAATCAAAGGGCAGCATTTGCAGCAAAGAGGGGTTATTCTCTGAAAGCCAATAATGAAATTCAGGATTATGCAGGTGATTGATGAATTTCTGAGAAAGAGGGATTGCAGACAGAGCTAAATGATGCCATAAAGTCAGTAATTGCTCCATACTAGAGTTTTAATTCATTATCTGTGTAGTGTTCTTTGTTGTCTATATAAGAGCGATGGCAGTTTTGTGTGTGTGTGTGTGTGCGCGCGCTGTTTGTAGTGAGCTGTGTGTCTTGTCTTTCACCCAAGTGATAGTGTATCTGTCACCTCTACTTGACCTGCGACAGAAAGTGAGAGGGAGCAGGTAGACATGGGATACGGCCTAACCATGCAGCACCAAATACAGCCTTTGATCTGCCTTCTGCCTGTTCATGCCACCCCCAGGACACACACACGCACATGCACACACAAACACTCACACACACACACACACACACACACTTTTATGCTATACTTTTATACAGCAGTCTTTAGTTTGACTTATAATATTGAGAGTATTTGCCATTTCGGAGCTCATGAAACATAAATAGCTGCACATTCAGACTGTTATGTCGGCACGGTGGCTGAGTGGATAGCACTCTTGCCTCTCAGCAAGAAGGTCCTGGGTTCGAATCCCGGTTGGACCAGGGCCTTTCTGAGTGGAGTTTTCATGTTCTCCCCGTGTCTGCGTAGGTTTCCTCCGGGTGCTCCGGTTTCCCCTACCACTAAAAATATGTACAATAGGTCTGGCATGTGCCTCCTGTACTGGCGACCCCGCTCCCAAAAATAACAATTGTAAACCGCTTTGAGACTCCGATGTGCAGTGAAAAGGCGGTATATAAATAAAGATTACTTACTACTTACTACTTACTACTGTTATACAACACACAACATGAATGATCAAAAATGCCCTTTTATTGGAAGGACACAACTTAACCACCAGTGTCAACATTTTAGAATAAACTAAATAATATTATTGTTTTAATGAGGGAGATTAGCTTTGAGATACGGTATAACATGCTATAGTTGTCCATTCATTAATGTTGCAAGATGAGATAAGATGAGAAAACCTTTCTTGGTCCCATGTGGGGTTATTTCAATGTTGCAGTGTATACATGACAGTAGTAAGAGCACACAGGGAGCACACAAAATAAGTTGATAGTTGATAATGATAATCAAAATCATTTCAGGGATCACCTATAATTGACTTTGACATGTACGATTTGGATGTAACATAACGTCTTGAGAAATAGTGCTCATTTCCCACTCATGTAAAACCCAATTCAAATGCATTTTATTACTGAGGATGATTGTGTATCCCTGTACTGTCTCTGTCATGCTCCAGACCTCATTTCTCCCCGTCTCTCTGAGCAGCGGACCTAGCCTTAGGCATCGTTAGCTTAATTTAATAAAGGGGCTTAAGCATTTGAGAGGCTTTTGAAGAATCTCTGTGCTGTTACATTCATTACAATCTATCAGCCACTGGAGACACAGCCGTGTAGCGGGATGAGGAGGAGAGCTTCTCATTTGAATTGATCTGATTATTACAAGTCTTACGTTAGACATCATGAGCAAAGCTGTACGTGTGCGCTGCTGAATGGAGTGAAGGGCAGGAGAATAAAGCTATAGCGATATCGTACATTTCTTCATTGTGAGATCAATAAAGTGTATCTTATCTTTTTCCAAAGATACAGTACAAGCAATTATCTACTTAATGAACTTGACGTTAAATCAATGGAAATCTTTAGATGGTGAATAGAAATAGCAGCATTCATTTAAAAGGATTTTGACACGGTGATAAAAGTATTCCCCTGTGGCATTTACATACATACATGCCTTTCCACGTCTAGTTTGTGATCTACAAAAAGACAATTAAGTGATTCTATCAATTAAGTTTGAAGAACTGTTTGCAAGTTTTTTGTTTTGTTTGTACGCACACCTCTGTTGGTATCTATAATAGTTTTTTTATGAAGCCCCTGTAGTAATCTCTGGTAATCAGTGTACCTTATTTAACCAAGAGAACTATGATTTTAAAGAGATATTAAAGTTTGTTCTTGGCGTAGGTCATCTGAGGGCGGCACAGTACACTCTGCAGTTGTGCATGTGACACACTCTGTCACATGCACAAATAGCAGCATGTGGAGAAGGGTAAACAAAAAATATGTAAAAAGCCATGTGATCAGAATATCACATATTGTAACACCATGATTTTTGATCAATCGGAGCTGATGAGCAGAGCGGTGCTAGAGCGGAGCCAGAGCTGGAAGAAGACAAGCAGTTTGTTGCACTTAAGTGTGAGTTTAAAAAAAACTGAAGGATTTAAAAAGAAAAAAGTTCAGGTTGACCAGGGACAATAAAAGCCCCACAAAATTCCGATCTTTATGAAAGCTGTAGGTTCTCTGTCAGCTGAGGTCGAGCTGTTTTTTGATAAACATTGAGTTCTATGGGACATTTTTCTGGGGAGCCTGCGTGAATTTAGTCTGCGGGTACCCCTGTGCCCGTTGGTGGGACAGCTATAAGCTCATAATAATACCCTATCCAGATATTATTATAGATCCATGGGAAGCAAAGACGCTCGTGGTGCACTAGTATAATCAGTCAGCCGAAACGCATCCCATGCAGAAAGGTTCCGCGGTGCAAAATACATTCAAATTGAGCGTGTTATTTTTGTGTGATTAATGCATTTGAATTTACACGTTAAAGTCCCGGCCGAGTAATATATAATGTTTTTTCTAACAATCTCAGCAGAATATTTTCCTTTGTAATAAATTGTGGAAGTTACAGGGTTATAAGACAGCAAAGGACAATAAAGTGCTGCTTAAAATGTGTGTGTGTATATATATATATATATATATCTTTGTCATTTTAAACACTATTGAGGACAGAGCGGGTGCTACTACAGCAACAGGTCTGTCACTGCTCACTACAGACTGAGGCTTGGTGTCTTTTAGAGTTTGCCTCTATGTACCATAATACAGCAACATAATAATGATATATTGATACATCAGCATAACCATATATCAACATATTGGACAGTTAACATAGCTACCTATTATCTGCTTTACCATATTTACATTAATAAACATACCACATTACTATAGGAAAACAGAGGCAACCAAAAAACATACATAGAACTGCTGAATAGTACACATTTGGCATTATTGCTCTCCGCTAATAAAGCTTGTGTGTTAGCAACGTGCCATGTTAGCAGAGAATATTAACTGACATGGTGGTAATAGGCCAGAGGAGCCAGGATGTGTCTGAGCCACTGACCTGCCCATTAGCTTCCTCCACTCTGCTAAGCCCTCACATCGATCACACAGCCACATATCATTGATCTGGAAAACCAGGCACGAGCACACTACTTAGAATGTGTCTCTCATGCCTTGTGCTTTTACATTTGTGGTGAAAAAGAGAGACAGATACTACTCCACTCTTTACATCAAACACGTTCACACTTAGTTAAAGGTTGTTATGTTTTATTGTTGCTCAATATGCACATTATTCAAATGCATTTCACCTTTCCACCTCTTTGTTGTGACATAATTAACAATGTACACTGTTCTATTAGCCATGCTGGCAGTGGTTTACTCTAAGCTGTCAGTGTCAATGATCAGACCTCACAGACCATTTGTTTTCCTCTGTATTTAAAGTAAATGTTTTGTGAAATGTTTGTTTGTTCATGTGTTTGTATATAAACAGTGTGATATTACAACAAATGTTTAAGTTTAGTCCTAAATGTATAATAATAGTTAATGTTGCTCCCAATGTAAAAGCACGGGCATAGCAAGTCCAGGGCCATGCAAACAAAGTAATTGCATTGATTTCCAATTAGCCACAGTCTCTGATGTTATTTACAGCATTAGCTCAACAAACAAAGGCTCTTTTCCGGATTGTAAACAGCTATGACATGCTGACAAACCCATTTTGCCGACCCCCTGCACCACTCACCCTTTTGATAATTGCCCCAAAAAACCAAATGCATTATTAGGCCATTAATAGCAGTCACACCAACACCTCTCCATTCATCCAGTCTATGGAGCACGCCCCTCCCTCCGCTGTGGAGCCTGCTGGCAGAGGCACTGAGCAGCTTTGAAGAGGCCTTGTTAAAGCAGCTAGCCTGAGATGTGTCTGCATTGGTCGAGTGAGAGCAAGGGGTGGGAAGCCTTTGTTCAGTGGGACGAAATGTCAAGGCCTTACAAGCATTCAAGTTAAATTATGCTTAGCAATGCAGGCACAAGAGTGTTAACACACACTCAAACGGCTGGGGCAATGTGTTTACGGCTTGTGTTTGGCTCAGCTGCATAATGTCTATTGTCATAGGATTGTGCTGTCTGCGGTGTCGGCTCATACTGAATAATACAAAGCCATAGCGATAAAAGAGAGTCAACAGGTTCACAAGCA